TAAATGGCTATGCCTAACTTCCTTCATCTTAAGGTTATGGCAATTATAGAAAACAAATAGATAAGGTTCTATCTGTAGATAGTCCTACTTTCAATACAAATATTCAATACAGGTGTGTATTTTGCTGCAATAAACTCCTACTACTAGTGAAAACTGTCCTTTTTTTAAATCTTTCAAATCTTGCTCGTTACTGATTTCATTTATAAATAACATTTGTGGTTTATTATTTCCTACAGAAATTGCTCTGTAATAAGTTATCGCAAGTAAACAGCATCTGCTACAATAAAGAGGCTTTGCTATAATTGCATTAGCAATTGTAATTCAGAGCAAACAAAAACAGTGTATGAGAGTCCTGTTACAACATGTAACATGAACCATATATATATATTTTTTTAAAAAAACCTTCAAGATAAAATAAAAAGTAACAAATGGTTATATTTCCAAAGCTAATTCAGGGTTCTGAAAGAACCTTTGGAAATAAGTTAATTGGAAGTATTTGGTATCATCTCCTAAATAAGTGCCTGATTTAGAACATCCTTTACTGATAGGCCAAATGTTCTCCCCATCTGGATAAATTTATGGACTCAACGAGCTGGGCTAAACTTGTTTGGACAGATGCTATGTGGAGGAAATCTTTAAATTTTAAGGAACTACAACAGCGCATATAAGCAAACTGCAAATGTTGGAAACATGAACTCTTGCCTTATTAAGAATGCTTGTTCTTCACAGAGATTATTTCTATTTTTTTGTCACTTAGATAATATGATGATTCTTGTCATTACTGATGTTTAAAGTTATTAATGGAATACTGCATGCTGTTCTGCTTTCCTATCTTAAAAAAATGCTATAACTATGATACAAGAAGGGTGAGAAGATTTATCAAGATATGGAATGAATTCTATTAAAGGAACAACAAATAGATTAGGATTCTTGAGCCTAACAAGAGTTGAAGAGTAGGAGATATGCCAGAGGTCTTAATCATAAGTGGCATGGAAAAGGTGAGCAGAGAATGATCATTTTACTACCTCTTCCAAGACAAAGCATGCACCAAAGGAAGAGTCAAAACAACAGAGATAATATTCACATGCTATGCAACTAATACGAAGAATTACTTGATATGGGATAATGTGACTTGATATGGGATAATTCAAAAAGCCAAGAGAAAAAAACAGAAGAGACGCGAAGCTCTTTAGCTCAGGAAGACCCAGGACAGTAGGTGGAAGCGAAGATAATATCCTGAGGAGATACTACTAGCTTGCCATGTCCTTATGCCCTTCTTTAGACGTCCACTCTTGATCACTGTTGGAGACGAGCTACTGACTTGATGGGTCTTTTATTTGACCCCAGCTGGCTGTTAAACTTGTGGAAAAGTACTTTTCAGGCTGACTTCAAATAATAGTTGAGAGTTTTATATGAGTATTTATTCTAAGACTATTTGGAAGTAACTTTTTTTTTTTAATATATTATCTTCAGGATCTGCTGAAGACACGACTGTTGAAGTTACTGCCTCTAAAAGTGGGGGAAGTGTTGCAAATTGTGGAAAGAGAATAACCCACTTAATGCAATAGGATTCTTTCATTATGGAATAATCTCTGTGACCGTCATGGACTCTGTATAAAACGGACACACAGTCACGTATCTCTGCCAGATGTACCTATTTCAGTGTTGGACTGCATAGTTTTTATTGTATTTTGCAACATTTCAAAACATAAACTAAATCTTTTAAGAAGTGAGAACTAACAAGGAAACAAACCTGATTCATAGAAAAATCACTGCAACATTTAATATAGAAATACTTTTTAATATACCCAGGAATGTTTGGATGAAAAGCTCTTGCACTGTCTTACCAAGGTCTGGAGTTCAAATTCACTGTGAACTTTTATGATGCCAGTGCAATACTTCTATTTGTAAAGTGCTTTAAAAATATCTATGTAAAACTATTGAAGCAAAGTTACAAACGTAGCATAAATTGTTTATAGTGTAAATACACAATTTATTGTGACTCTTAATATATTTCGTCATCTTGGAATAACTTAGAATTTGAAATTTTGTAAGTAACAAGTAAAAATAGTGTTGTTGAGATACCGTTTTTTTTTTTCTTCATAGCAGAAAATGATGTAATATGATCGCTCTAAGAGGAGGCTTTTTAATCCATTGATGTTACAGGAATTATTTTTCTAGTGCTGAAACATTTAGAAATCTATAGATTAACAAATGCTTTGCTTTACAAAAATCTTACCAAATCTACATGCAAACGTAACTGAAATTAGAACTAGCACGTGGGAAAAGATTTATATTACAGCTAAAGACGCGAGAAATCAAACACAGGAAATTCCACTTGAACGTAAGAAAACACTTTGAGTGACTGAACAGTGGAGCAGGTTGCCCAGAGAGGTGGTGGAGTCTCCATCCTTGGAGGTATTCAAACCCGACTGGATGTAGTCCTGGGCAACCTGTTCTAGGTGACCCTGCTTGAGCGGGGGTTGGACCAGACAATCTCCAGGTGGCCCTTCCAGCCCCAATTAGTCTGTGATAATTGTGCCTAAAAATTCTGTGTAGGAGAATTTCCTAATGAGTTCCTCTGTTTCTGAACTAACGCTAAGAGTTTGAACTTACCATTAGCAAATATGGGTAGGTCTTCCACTTCTAATAGACAACTGTTTTTATGCCACACCTAACTGAATATAGAGGTGGATTTAAGGAAAACATTTAGTAGGAAAACAGTGGCTCTACTTCCTTGTGAACTCTTGAAATGTCTTCCGACTTTCTGTTCCAAATAATTTGTAACTTTCTCTTGTACCTTTCTATGCATAGTCAATTTTAAAATGTTTTCCAAATGCTTTCAATCTTTCAACAAGTTTAAATAGATGCTAGACTTGAAGGTCTGTAAAATTTCAATTTCTTCCTTAATAACTGTAGCTTTTATGAGGTATCTAAAGTTGTTTCCTTTTTCTTTTAGAGGAACTGCAATGTGACACCAATATGTTGTTACAATGTGCTGTTTAAATAATCTCCTTCCCTAAAAACCTATAGATCATTGTTTCAGGGCTGTTCACAAGAAACACGTTCATTTACTTGTTCTGAACAGAGGTAACTGCTTGTACTGATCCCCCATAGTTTTGATCTGTGAACTGAATTATGAGATGTAATATTTAGTAAGTGGAATGATGAGTAGCAGCGATAATTTAACCCAAAACTTTTGTGGGTAGCCGTTCTCCTACTTACTGTAGTGATTAATCCCGAATCCAGCATTGGATACCCAGTGATAGTTGTGTAGGATGGTAGATAGAATATTGCCTGTTGTTGCAACCCCACTCAGCAACTGTGAGGGATTCCGATGTTTGCATTTATGAGTAGTCTACTGTGCGTGTCTTAACAGTTAAATATAAGAGTTGACACCTCAGAAAAGAAAGACCCAAGTTAATCATAGAAAAACACTTAAATGTTACTAGTAGGATGTGTCTAAATAACGATAAGATACAACATACTTGCATGGGAGCAATGATAACTATTGTAAGCTATCATACTTTTATTTTTTTTGAAAATGTAAAATAGTTCCTGTTTAATGTGGTCTATTTTTTATTTCCTAAATAAGGAAGACTGCAATAGTAAATAGAAACCAGCAAGTCAAACAATGATTAACTGTTAAACATTAGCATGTATTTAACACTATTTGAGCCTCCCAGGATCCTTATCAGTTGTAGCTCAATGCAGAACGAAGTCCATTCAAAGAACTTGTATCTTGTTTATGGGAGGAAAAAAATTACTTGTTCATTGTTAGGATTGCTTGTACTTCTGTGAACTCTGAATTTTGCATATACTGTGAGAATTCTTTCTAGACTTAAAGGACTGTCCTTACTCTATGTTTAAAAACAGCCAAAATCCGAAAGAACCCAACTCTGGTTACAGAAGTTTGGTTGTACAGGAGTTTTTTTTATACCTGCTTTACGCCTTAAAGCTTAGCTGAAAAATGGCATCCTATATTCCACTTCCTTACATGATAACTAAAGGAAAAAAGCCAAACCCTGATCTTGTAACCGTAAATGAGTGAATGTTTGTTAGAATCTTGTATGTGGGCTACATCTGAAGAGACTTTTAATGCAATATATGCTGTTTACTTTCCTTAAACAGAAACATCTTATGAAGGGACAAATTAGTAAAAGTTAATTTATTAGTAAATTCTGCAAAAATCTCTTCTGTTTGATTTTTGTTTGATGGGTGTATTTGGGGGGGAGGCGGGCATTTGGTGGGAGGGAGATATTTATTCCAGTAGCAGTTCGTGTCGAAAGCAATAAGCTGCAGAAGAGAACAAAGGTCAAATAATCTCACGTTGCTGTAGCTGTTTTACATGTATTGGAGCAGGAAGCATTCAGCTGGATTAAAAAAAAAGTTTTGAGCAAATTGAATGTTACTGAAGAACTAGATGGAAAATGCCTGCTTCCTATTCATATTTATCCTGGTTGCTCTGAAAGCTATTGGAGGCTTTCACGTATAATTCTTTTTGAATTATATGTGCTGCTACGACCATTAATAGTATCAGCTGGCGTCTATCAAAAACATGGCCTTTGAAATAGCAGCAGCTAATGATTTTCTCAACAGCAATTTTTATATATACATATTGTTTTGAGAGGAAAAGCAGTTGTTAGCATAGAGATAGAAAAGTCCATAGTTTATTTTATATCATTCTTCAAATGCTGTGCTAGCAGTGTGGTGCTTTAATATAGCCCTAGCTTACAGGAAGAGGATGAAAAAGCCCAGAAAGCTTCTCGAAACTCTCTGCCTGTCCCTTTGCTCTAACAAACGCTTAATTGCTTCCCAAGGTCAAATTCTTTTTTTTTTTAACTGAATTTTTCAGCAATCTTTAATCTTGAGTAAAAGGGATCATTTGACAGTTTTTTTTTCCCTTGTTCTAGGCCGTAGTAGCACAGCTTACGATAAAAAAATAAACTTGGAAAAGTCTGAATTTACTAGCTGGCTGTTGCAATCTTGGTATCGCCAGCATGGGATCTCGATGTGCTTTGGGATGTGGGGACTTGCGACGGATCTGGCCAGTTCTCAGTGCAGCAGCTCGCAGGTCATCTCGTATTTCATGTCTTCAGGTATACACATAAACAAAAAGTCACTTGGCCCCAAATCAGAGATGCAGTTCTGAATGACGGACGGTGACATTGACATGACCTTGGAATTCTCTT